CCCAACTATACCTTTGCCAAGGGATATGGACGCTTCGGCACAGGGTATACCCGATTAGCAACGGCGCTTGGCAACTTCGAGCAAGGAAGCATAGAAGCAGAAAGTGCTATTGTGGCTCAGTGGCTGACCTCTGGGGCCACGTGTTGCCATGGCCTGCACACGCATCTGCTTTCTCCCCGCCTGATGTTGACCAAAATCCCTGAGTGCGTCCTCAACGACTACCACCATAAGGGATATCCCCTCACTCCGAAAATGGCAGATCGCCCATACAATCAATATGGCACACACCTCTATACCAAAGAACGATGGGATCAGCTCTGTGCATGGCTCACTGGGAACCCCAATTTCAGGCTTCAACTCAAGGATCACAAGCAGGCGCTTCGAGACCACATGGGATTCAGTCAAGAAGCCCCTGACCCGGGTAATAAAGCTCGTCGAACGGTCCCCCCGACAGAATCGGGAAGTTCCTCGTCGGCAGCGTGGTCTTCCTGGCACAGCAGGCCCTCCCCACCGCCCTCGCCCTACGGGTGGTCCTATGGCTGGTGGCAGTGAGATGGCTGGCAGTGGAACTCACCCCCAACCAGCAACCGTCTCCGGAGTGGCTGGATCCCTGGAAGGAAGGTGGGTGGCCTTAGCCACCCTCCTGCTTGTAGCTTAATCGTCATAACAGGGTTCGCAAAGGTTATGTCTTCAGTGTCTCTGTACTTGGCTCAAGCAAGCATAGTAACCAAGTTCGACTGCCGCCCACGCGACCATGCCGACTTCCAAAGACCGTTATGAGATCAACCTCGAGTTGGTAACCATAGCAGGTACGGTGTATGCAATGCAAACAAACCTCTCCCACTGTGAGAATGTGGCAGAGCTTGAAGATGACATTCTCTGCTTTCTGCCGACAGTCTCTGACTTAGAGGTCTTCGGCTGTGAACTGAAGTTGCTCAACCTTCACACACAGCAACTCCTGCCAGAGGCATTTCACACTGTGCTCCAGCAACGACCGCAGCTCCAAATTGTAGTTCGTCCCTGTATGGCAGATGGGCACTCCGTCTGGCAGTTCCAGGATGACGGCAAGGAGAGCTGCCCCAAAGCTGTTCGTGTCCTGCCCAACCCGCGGGAGGCAATTGCCGACAGAGCATTTTATGCTGCACCTTCGCTCCGGCACGTAGAAGTGGCAACAGACATTCAACATGTAGGAGTTGCGGCTTGGCAGACGTGTCAGCAACCACGAATTGTCAAGCTTCCACCCTCGGTCATGAGTCTGGCGGAAGGGGCTTTTCAAGGGTACTATGTGCTGCGAGAGGTTGCCGCTCCGGGGTGTGTCCACCACGGTCCAAGAGTGTTTGCGGAGTGCTGCTCCCTAGGTCGCGTTGGGGCCACCTTTGACATGGACCATACTAACAAACCTCGAGCGCTGCCGGAAGGGGCATTCTGCGGCGCAGGCGTTGAACAGCTCTGCTTGCCGAGTGACTTCCACAATATCGGGCCGCGGGTCTGTGAGAATTGCAAAAGCCTTGTGGAGGTCAACCTCATGAGCACAGAGATCACAGCCCTTCTCTCTTCCACATTTACCCACTGTGTCGCCTTAAACTGGATATGGCTCCCGCCACGACTCACGCAAATTGGCAAAGAAGTCTTTCTGAATTGTGTGGCACTGCAAGAAGTTGTCATTCCGACGGAGCTCAGCAATATAGGCAACCGTGCGTTCTGTGGGTGTGAGCAGCTGCAACGATTTGCCCCCCTGGATTGGGGTGACATTGAACAGTGGGTGCAAGCAGAGCACAATGCCTTCTTTATGTGTGACAAGTTTGAAAAACCCCAGTGGGTGGAGCTGCTCCCTGCGGAAGGGCCTGATTCGGATGCTTTTGACAAGGAACTCTACCATGAATATTCCAATTATCATGCCAGTCCATGGTAGACTCTAGGTGGGTGCCTTAGCATCTGTCTTCAGGATCCATGGCCTTGAACAGCCCACAAGCACCCAGACACTTTTGGCTCAAACGACTATTGCAAATTGCCTGCTGCACATGGAGCTTGATGATTCATCCATGATTAGCACTAGGAGCCAGTCATGGAATGCTCCCTGATGCTGACTGCGCTTTCGGGAGAGACTTTTCAGGTCTCTCTCAGTGTTGCAAAGTTTGACCGTTTTGAGGATCTAGAAGACTAGGTTATGGACTATCTCGTCTCTGTTACTGATCTCAAAGTCTTTGGGTGCTGCATTGACTTTTTGCAAACTGCCACACAGACTTACCTAGAGGACCCAATCTGGGACAAGCTACAGCAAGGCATGGAATACACTATCGTTTTTCGACACTGTAGTGTTGTTCTGCCATCTCAAGTAGAACTTGAGGATTGCCCCATCCATCACATTCCGCAAGCAGTTCATGTCCCCATGAACCCAGAGAGAAGTGTCCCGGAAGGAGCCTTTGCAGAGGTTCCACGCCTGCGACATGTCAGCGTAGAATCAGGTATCAGGTTCATTAAGGCAGAGGCCTGGCAAAACTGCCGGCAGCTACGCATCGTCAAACTGCCTGCCACAGTGGTAGGCATTTCCGATAATGTCTTCCGTGATTGCAAGCTACTAAACAGCGTCGAGGCTCAGAGTTGCTTGGACTTTGGGTATAAAGCTTTTGCGGAATGTTGTTCCTTGCAATGGGTGCATGCATCGGAAGGGGCAGCAAATGTGTTCAATAGCGAAGCCAAGTTGGGACACTACCTTTTTTCAGGGGTGTATCAATCTCGCGGAGGTTACCTTAAGTAAGTCTCCATATCCCCGAGAGTCAGGATTGCAAGCTAGGGTTGTTTCAGCTCCACAGGAATCACTGCACTTGCTCTCCCAGTTTAAGGTTCATTGGAACCTGTGAGAGCTTAGCCCCCCCCTTTTTCTCTTTGCTTTCTGGGGCTTTCCTGAATGTAATACTCAGGATCTCCCTTTCTTTCTTTGGAGTGTCCCTGGACGATTGTTCGTAGCTGGGAACACCTTCCTTTCTCTCCTCTCCCTTTCTCTCCCTCTCTCTTTCTTTCCTTCTCTTTTTCCTCTCTTCACCCTCTTTCTTGGGCGTCCCTGGATGCTTTCGTCACGTCCTTGGACGCATGCGTCGTAGCTGGGAACACCTTCCCTCCTTTTTCTCGTCTCTCCCTACCCCTCCCTCCTGTCAGAACCTTAGCTTGGGCTGCTACTAGGGACTCCTGGCCTTCCTACTAGGTGCTAGGGCGCTACTTTGAGGCTACTAGAGGTTTCTGGCCTTACTTCTACTTTGTCCGCACCTTCAATTCGCCTCCCTTTGGGGAGGCGTGTGTGTGTGTGTGCCCCTTGTAGTCACAGGGATTCTTTTGAATTGTTTCGCATTTAGCAGGGGCGTACGGCTCGTCATACCCACCGCACGCAACGAAGCTACGGTATGACGAGGGAGGGGTAGACTGATCATCCACCCGCACACTTGCACGCCGCGACGTCAACCTGTCGCTTCGTTTCCGGCTTACGCTTTGGGCCACCCTTCCTTTTGAAGACCTCCAGGCTCCAGGGGTTCGTACATGTACTCTTAGGAAATGGTACCCTAGGCCGGCGTGTGGCACCGCTGTCAAGTCAGTACGCATATCCATAAGTGTGCGCGCGTTGGCTTTGCCTTTCCTATTGCTCATTGTTCTTTGTTGCCTGCGTGTTTTTTGCGCAAAAACCCTTCGCCTGCAATATTTTTTCATTCGCAGAGCGCTGAGCCTTCAGGAAATCTGTCGTTGGAATGTGTCGTCAGTGGCTTGCAAGATCATGGCATTGCGACAGCAAAGTGTGTGATAGTTTATAGTTTATCAGTATTGCAGGATGCATCTAGTAAGTATGGCGTTCCAGCTTTGTTTAAACACTCCGATTTGGGTGTGACCGCAAGGTCAGTTTGTGATTAAACCCCAAGAGGAAAACCAAAGAAACGTCAGATTTTCTCAACGTCGCTCCAGATGGCCGTTCTTATGCTCATAGTTTTGGAAACCCAAAACATTTGAACGCGTGTTCCAGCATACCAATAGTCGGCAGCGTTTTGATACTCAAGAGCTTGAGGGCAAAGAGCTGTATGAGCGCCGAAAGCAAAAAGATATTGACTTGGCAGTCACGCTACTCACTGCGGGTTGTAATCCGCTTCCGCTTCGTACCCATACCATTGGCGTTTCTCAAGGTCTCATTCCTTGACCTGTGTCAGTGTTTCAAAATGTGTGGCAATGGCCTGCAAGAGGGTCTTGTGCCACCGTTTGCAAGTGCCAGGAGGTTGTAGTTGTCAGACAGCGCTAAGCAGCTCCAATTTGCCTGTGTGAAGGAGCTCCACTTAGGAGGAAGGCAATCACACTGCACAGCGGTATGCGCTGTGATTGGTTTGTGGCTGCAGTTTGGAGATTGCCGCCAACGGAACTCAGCAATAATTCCAGATTTTTACAGCAACCTTTTCAGGCTGGCGAATAAGGTGGCGGCAGCTTTGTGTTTGGCGTTGCACATGCGCAAAAAGTGGTCGCCCCATCCATACCACCAGTCTGTTCGGCCAATGTGCCTGTGTTTGTTGTTGATGTTTGCTTGAAAAGAAAGAGCAGCGCAATGCTTGTGGAATTCACGTGGCTTGCGTGCAGTTCGACATCCTTGGAACGCTTGCTGTCTCCTAGATGGATCCTGCTGTGGTGTGGAGAGTTTTCTGTTTATCCAACCCTGTGTCTGGTCTGCTGATGCACTATGCCTGCTGGTCTAGTTGCTGCTCTTGCTGCCAGCCAAGCCGGGGAGACATCACGGAGTCAGGCTTGACAGAGATGTTGCTTGACTAGGGATCGAGCACAGGAATTTCCCTATGGACCCAAAAAGATTCCAAGTCTCAGCCTCCAATCGCCAAACCCTCGGGGTTTGACATGAGTTTCTATCGCGGTGCTTTCCAGACCTTGAAGTAGAAAATTGATCCTGCTAGCTGAAGTTGCTGTCCCAGGGTGGCAAGCAGTTGTTGTACGCAAGGTGTTTGAACACTTTGAAAATAGTGATGTTTTTCGCAAATGCTTTACCAGCTGGCTCCAAACAATATCAGTTTCTAGGAGTCAGTTGCACATTTAAGGCTTGCGCGGGTGTTCTTTTTGCAAAGGTTTCTTTCAAGGCAGCATGTTGTTTTGCCGGGCCGCAGGACAATTGGTGGCTGCCGATCAAATCGAGGGGCACACCGCCCAGCCGACGAAATTGGCACAGCATGGCTTGGAGCAATGCCGCGGGTGGCTTTTACATCTTCGGAGGATATGATGGCAGCAGCAGCTTGGATGCAGGTGCAAAGCGCAGTGAGCTGTGCGAGGTCCTGTGTGGTGTCATGTGACGAGTCTTGGCGCTGAGGTTTGAATGACTTGTATTTGTATGTCCGGGAGGCCAGGGAGAAACTTTCGCGGACGTGCTTTTTTCAAGGGTATATGCGCGATTTGATGCCGCCAGCGCAAAGTGCAGAGATAGGATCTGGTGCCTCAATCTTGTAGATCTGCAAGTATGATAGAACTGGGGGGGTTTTATGGAAATGGGTTGTGGATCGTGGATTTGGTTCTGTCCATTCCTTCAGTTTTCAAGGGGCGCAACTTGGTAGACTCTAAGGAAACGTTGCAGTGTTTTTGTAGTGGTGCTATGGTGTGGTGGGTTTGGGGCGTGGGGAACAAGGCACCTGACCAATGTAGCAGTGTCCGTCGTATATTTGCCTGTTTTGATCCGGTCCAGTGGCGTGCGCGGGCTATCCTGCGCATGGACAACAAAATATCTCTCCGCACTGTATCCAGATCGGCGCTTGCGTTCATACTGATTTCCAATACCTGTTTGATCTTGTTCACAATAGACAGAACCAAACATTCAATCCAGCAGAGCAGAAAATATGTCATTGGAACCTTGTCCAGACTTTGCGATCGTCATGGCAGCCTCGCAAGCGTCCTCCCGCTGAAACTATGCTGAGATGATCTTGTTACTATTGTCTATATAACGACCTGGCTGACACACAGCCAAGACAACTCAACTCCATGATTATCCAGAGTTTGACCGGATATGTCACCAAAAAACAACACTGTATGCAACGGAAGGAAGCAGGCCAGCGAGGGTGGACATAACTGCGAAAAACATCAACTTTGCTACGATTTGAGCGCGCGAAGCAGCAAAGATTGCCAGCGACAGTTTTTTACCAACCAGCCTCTTTTGAAGAAGACAAAATGAACTTATCCAATGGCCGGTTCCCCACACTTGGAGAGCAGATCCACAGCAAGTGCTACCGTGCTACCGTCTTGCATACGTAGCCTCTCACGCCGTGCTTTTGCGCATACTGCGCTTCAGTGGCCTCCGGCTATATAGGTCTCCCCAAAACAGCAAGGACCAGGAATCTCGTTGAGCCCGCGCTTCGTTCCAACGATATGGAAATACCCAAACGCCTCCCTGCACGGGGCACAACGCCAGACTGGCGTATGATTTCCCTGAAGTTCAAACACTTCCACCAAACCAAAGACCCATCAGAGAACAAGCCGAAGCCTTCCGACTAGCTGTCAAACACCTGAGGCTCTGACGGACCGTCAGTTGATACCTGAGTAGAGCAAGACAAACGGGTCGCTCGTTCACAGGTATTGAGATGGCAGCAGATTTCGTCAACGCATTCTCTTCAACCCCGTTTATTACAAGACTTTGCCAGAAATCCCGCTTGACTAGAGAACCATTTGCAATCGTGACCTTTGGGTTACCCTCATGATCCTTATACTTGATTGACAACCTTTGGTTCCAAATTAGCGTACACGCAGGCTCGGCCTTCGGTCCCCTTCCCTGCGTTTGTCGCGTTTTATGCCACAGGGAATTCGCCTCGTGCGACATACTCTGCGTTTCACCCGATACCACAATAGTGCAGTTTTGTCACGTCGTGTAACCAACCCTCTCAACACCCCCACAACATCTGTGGAAGAGGGGCAAGACATCGAGCCCGCAAAACCGAGACCCTGGAAGCTGCTTTTGAGAACGCGGAAGTTCAAATGCTTGCAAGTGGGCTAGTCCCAAAATGGTTCGTTCAACACATATTTTGTGCTTTTTTTTGTGCTTTTTAGTCGCCGTGTGAATACGTGCTTTTTACACATTGTCTTCTTAATTGAGTGTTTAACCCGATCAGCCCATCCGATGGGCACAGCCTCAGACAGAATGCTGTGGGGTGTCAGCGTTAGCATTGATGATTAAACAATTTCTTCCAGACAGATGCCAGGCGGGCAAGTGGTGGCAGCTGGAGACGGACGGCGCAGCGCCCAGCCGACGATATAGGCACAGCATGGCTTGGAGCGACGCCGCGGGTGGCTTTTACATCTTCGGAGGATATGGAGAGGTTGGCAGCAGCAGCTTGGATGCAGGTGCAAAGCGCAGTGAGCTGTGTGAGGTCCTGTGTGGTGTCATGTGATGAGTCTTGGCGCTGAGGTTGGGGGCTCTTGAATGACTTGTATTTTGCTCGCGAGGCCAGAGCGGACCAAAATGGGAAAAGGGGGAGGGATTCGTTCGCGAACGCCAATGGCTCATCTGTGCACACCACCGAACCGACAGACGGGAAGTGGGAGTGCGACCAGCTGATGCAGATTAATGATGCAAAAATGATACATATATTCAGACATTGACTGTTGGGAGGAGTCTTTGCCTTTCACGGGCCTGGTGATGCAAATGATACAACTGACAGGCTTCGCCAACCATCACCAGGACGTACGTGCTTGCGTCAAAAAACGTCAAAAACAGAAAACATAGAAAAATGATGAAACATGGCGACTGTTAAAGCTTTATCTCTAGAGAAGAAAGTATGCAAAGGGGAGAGGAAGTTTTGAGGTAGCAGTTGTGTCGAGCACCATTGGCATCACCAGAGTACGAGCAGCATTGTTCATAAACTACATACATCTTGCAAAAACACTGTGATTTACAGTTTTTTTGGTCACGCGCCAATTGATTTGCATCTTTCCTGCTGAGACTCTGCTGACGCTAAAGATGCTAGTCCAAAATTTCTCCTCAAAGTTTGTCTTCATTTTCAACGCTTTGTGTTCTAGAGATTTTGAAGCCATAAGCTTTAACAGTGACCATGTTTGATCATTTTCCTTTGTTTTTGACGTTTTTTTGCGTAGCCACATGAGCCCTGGCGATGCTAGAAAAGAGGTCGGTGGCATGGAGCGCGTCTCCGCATAGCAAGCTAGGCTTGATAGACGCAACGGAACGGCGTCGCCGGATAGAAAGGGCTAACGCCCTGGTGCCGCCGACCCCCAATTTTCCAGCATAGAGCACAGTAGCAAAGAAGGGATACTCGCAGCCATGCGCAGCCGGCATGGCGGATTTGGTGGAAGGCTCCCGTGACAAGTGCGTGAATCAGCACATCGGCAATGAACAGAGCCCAATGGCCCACTGGGGTCATGTGTGGGCAGAAGACTTTCCAGAGACTTGTACCCATGTTGGGTTGTTTCCACATTTTGCCCGTTTGTTCTAAGCAGCGCCACATTCCATGATCCGCGATGTATTGGAACCAGTCTTGCGGAGACATTTAAGAAATCCTATGCTCATGCGTGTCAAACCTTGAGACCACAATGTCCAACTTTGTTTTCACAGTTTTTTCACAACCCTGTGAACATGGGCAGCGCGCATTTCGGATCTGCAGCTGGCCTCGTAAGATCGGACCAAGAAAACTAATTCACGGCTTTCCGCTATCTAATTCCGTCTAACGGCAGCTTCGATAAGAAATGCTTGAGCGGCCAGACGCAGGGCAGGTAGGAGCTCTAGACCAGAGGCAAAGCGAAGCCAAAGATGCAGAGCAGGTAAGACAAAGCAGGTAGAAGCTCTAGACTCAAATAAAGCTTGAGCGGCCAGAGGCGGAGCAGGTAGGAGCTCTAGACCAGAGGCAAAGCGAACCCAAACAGCAAGGTACCGCCACGGCTTTCCCCTGTCAAATTCTGCGCCCAAGCTTCAAAATTCAATCAAAGAAAAGGCTTGAGAGCTCTAGAGAGGCAGAGCAGGCAGGAGCTCTAGACCAGAGGCAAAAAGCGATTGCCGCGGCTTTCCCCCATCGAAACAATTCTGCGCCCAACACGCACGGACTGTGCGCCTAACGGCGCCTTTTAAACCCAAGAAAGAAAGCTTGAGGGGCCAGAGGCAGAGCAGGTAGATGCTCTGGAGAGACAAAGCTTGAGGGGCCAGAGGCAGAGCAAGTAGGAGCTCTAGAGAGAGGAGCTGTAGACCAGAGGCAAAGCGAAGCCAAACAGCAAGGTACCGCCACGGCTTTCCCCCGTTTAACTCTGCGCCCAAAAGCGCGCGGACAGGGTGCCTAACAGCAGCTTTGAAACCACAAAAAGAAAGCTTGAGGGGCCAGAGGCACAGCAGGTAGGAGCTCTAGAGAGGCAGGACCAGAGGCAAAGTAGGAGCCCTAGAGAGGTAGAGCAGGTAGGAGCTCTAGAGGGGCAGAGCAGGTAGGAGCTCAAAAAGCGGAGGGTGCCACAGCTTTCCCCCATATAATTCTGCGCCCAAAAGTGTTCGGACAGGGTAGGTAGGAGGTTGGGACACCGAAAGCTTAAGGGCCAGAGCCAGGGGCTGAGCAACCCAAAGCGCGAGGGTCCAGAGCCAGAGACAGAGCAGGTAGGAGCTGCTTGAAACACGCTTGGCTCTGTTTCTGTGGCTGGCATTCCCGGGCACGACATATCATCGATGGGTTCGGTCTTCAGGGGTGCTACTTGTGTCAGCGACTCTGCTTGCAGCAATTGTTTTGCGCAGAGCGTTTCGCCTTTGCTTTCGGTGTGTATTTGCGGGCTGTGAGTACAAGGAAGTGTACACTGGGGTGGGACTGGATACGGCCAGTGTACACCCAAACCCTAATGCTACACCCCTGCACCATTCCCCTTTGCGCTTTGAAGGTAAACAGTTTGTGACCTTATGCTTGTGTGAGCAGCATCAGTGCCTGTGTTGGGTGGAAAGTGAAGGCTGTGGTCTTGGTTTCTTTTGCTTTTGATGCCACTGGAACGCCCTTCGCGTCCAGTGAGGGGTCATTGACTTAGTACCTGGTCTTCCGTGCCCAAAGCCGCCGCGCAGGGCAACTCCTAGATACCCCGTCTCTTGCTGCGGTTGCCCCCCGCTTGTGGCCTTCCGGTCCCAAGTGCAGCGCTGTGAAAATTTCTTGGGGGCGTTCAGCTCAAGTACTAGATAGCCATGGTCCTGCTGAACTTCCTATTGTTCATTCTGCAAAAGACTTGGAAGATGAAGCGCGCCAGAGTTGGGCGCGAAAGTGGTTGTCATGTGCGCAAGCGGTTGTTGGTGGAAGCTCCTTCCTTGCGGGCCTTGACCACCTGGATGAAACAGTATTGCTTCCTCTATTTTCTGATCGTGCGCCTTCCACACTAAAACTAGACGACGAGTGGCCCGAAAGCATTTTTCATCACGTAGGAAGTCAGAGTGCGAGTTATCCGGTAAGTGTGCAGTGAGAAGTGTGAAGTCGAGTGAGTTGAGGTAGTGTGTGGGTTTCTGTGCGTGTGTCTATGTCCGTGTGGAAATGAGTCTGCGTATGTGTGTGTTCGTGTAAGTTGAGGGAGTGTGTGGGTGTCTGTGTGTGATGCGGCCTCCCAAACCCCCCACCGGCGGCCAAGTGGTGACAGCCCAGCTCATCGTCGTGAGCATTTGGGCTGCTGGTAAGGGGAGAAGCAGCGTGCACGGCGCCAGGAAAAGCTCACGGAAAAAAACGAACCGGAATGAGGACACAAAAGTGCCGAGGCAGGTGCGCCAGAAGTGTCTCGAAGCAGTGACCTGTCAGAGGAGATGAACGAAGTAGCGCGCAGGCCTCCCAAACCCCCGCCGGCGGCCAAGCGGTGACAGCCCAGCTCATCGTCATGAGCATGTGAGCTGCTGGTAAGGGGAGAAGCAGCGTGCACGGGTGTAGGGAATCTCACCGAAAAAACCCAGCTGGAATGAACACAGAAAATGCTGAGGCAGCCACGCCAGAAGTGTCTCGAAGCAGTGACCTGTCAGAGGAGATGAACGAAGTAGCGCGCAGGCCTCCCAAACCCCCACCAGCGGCCAAGCGGTGACTGCCCAGCTCATCGTCATGAGCGTGTGAGCTGCTGGTAAGGGGAGAAGCAGCGTGCACGGCTGCAGGGAATCTCACGGAAAAAACCGAGCTGGAATGAACACAGAAAATGCTGAGGCAGCCACGCCTGAAGCGTCTCGAAGCACTGACCTGTCAGAGGAACTCCAGTCAAAGGCTTTCTGCCAATTGCATTGGTATCCATGCATCAGCATGGACTTGAGTCTCAGGTGTAGGATCTTCCTCACGTTTCACGTGTGCACCCAAGGCACTACCAAGTCGCCACTTCTCATATTCCAGCTCCACAGCTACTCCGCGCACTAAAGTTGTACTACACAGTCGCCAGTTCTCAGCCTCCAGCTCCACAGATTGCTCCGCGTACTAAAGTTGTACTACAAAGTCACCAGTTCTCAGCTTCCAGCTCCCCAGCTACTCCGCGTACTACAGTTGTACTACAAAGTCGCCAGTGCTCATCTTCCACCTCCCCAGATACTCCGCGCCCTCAAGTTGTACTACCCACTCGCCAGTTCTCATCTTCCCGCTCCCCAGCTACTCTGCATACTAAAGTTGTACTACCAAGTCGCCAGTTCTCATCTTCCCACACCCCAGCTACTCCGCGTACTACAGTCGTACTACCACGTCGCCAGTTCTCAGCTTCCAGCTCCCCAGCTCCTCCGCGTACTAAAGTTGCACTACAAAGGCGCCAGTTCTCAGCTTCCAGCTCCACAGCTTGCTCCGCTCGAATCGCACTCTCGCCTGCGTTTCGCGCACTCGACACGCACGATCTCCGCAGAGGGTCGCGCGGTGATTTCACAAAGCGCGCTCTCGCCTGCATTTTGCGCACTCGACACGCACGATTTTGCAGAGGGTTGCGCGGGCAGCCGGCAAATCGCACTCTCGCCTGCATTTCAAGCACTCGACGCGCACGATCTCCGCAGAGGGTTGCGCGCGCAGCCGGCAACTCGCACGCTCGCCTGCATTTCGCGCACTCGACACGCACGATCTCCGCAGAGGGTTGCGCGCGGACCGGACAAATCGCACTCTCGCCTGCATTTCGCGCCCTCGACACGCATGATCTCCGCAGAGGTTTGCGCGGGCAGCCGGCAAATCGCACTCTCGCCTGCATTTCGCGCACTCGACACGCACGAACTCCGCAGAGGGTTGCGCGCGGACCGGACAAATCGCACTCTCGCCTGCATTTCGCGCACTCGACACGCACGATCTCCGCAGAGGGTTGCGCGGGCAGCCGGCAAATCGCACTCTCGCCTGCATTTCGCGCACTCGACACGACGCACGATCTCCGCAGACCTGGAGATGTGTTTCGACTTTAAAAAAAGCGGTAAGTGGAAATGCGCGTTTATAGTGTATACACTGCAAATGCTCCATTTCGACTACAAATGCGCCAAGGACAAGACTATACGT